TGCCTGCGCGAGAACATTGACTTCCCACCAGAGGACATTATCTTCGATTGCAACGTGCTGACCATCGCCACTGGACTGCCGGAGCACAACTCCTACGCCGTCGACTTCATCAATGCCGTGGCGGAGATCAAGCGCACCTGCCCATGCGTCTCCTTCTCTGGAGGCTTGAGCAACCTGTCTTTCTCCTTCCGCGGCCTGAACTCATTGCGGGATGCCATGCACAGCGTGTTCCTCTACCACGCAGTGCCCAAGGGTCTGAACATGTCCATCGTGAACCCAGGAGGCCGGGTGAAGCTGCCGCACGGAGCTTCTTGGACCATCTCACCGTGTCGCCGAGGCCTTCCCCGCTACACGGACATCGACGAGAACACACGCAAGCTGGCGGAAGAGGCGCGCGGCTCCTTGTCTGGCCTTCAACCCGGCTGGTCTCAGCTGGCTCGATCATTCCTGCCTGGTTTGCAGGTGATCCTGAACCAGTCTGCAGATGGCAAGCATGCAGGAAGCCTAAAGACCCGCCTTGCTGTAGCACGAGAGGTCCGTCATGCGCCGTCTTGTGCAGAGGTCGAGCGCTTCCTGGAGTACGCCGAGGCCGCCTCCGTGCTGTGAGTCTCAAGGGGTCTCAAGATGTCTCCGGTTTCGCAGTGGCGTAGCACATCGTAGCGCATCGCAGCAGCGTGGCCCAGAGGCAGTCCGCAAGCCTGCCCCGGCTGCGGGTGGTGCTGCGGGTGGCGCTCCCGCCAAGGCGCGGTTCGCAAGTCTCGGGTCGCCTCGCAGTCGCCGACATCATCCGACATCATCCGACCCGAGACAGGATGCCTGGCGAAGCGGCACATTCACAGAGCGTCTGCACTACGGGCGGTGGCCTCGGCCGAGACGCTATGTCGCTGTGTGCATGCCCCCTTGGCCCTTGGCCTGCAGAAACTGACATGATGTGGTACTGTATGGGGCCAAAGAGGCTGATCAACGGTATCGACAAGTTCATTGAGGGGGATACCGAGGAGGTCCGCTCTTGCAGATTTGCCGGTTTGAGTCTGGCACATTGGCAGCTTCCACCGTGCCTCAACGGCGAAAGGCCCGGGCAGAATTGCAAATCCCGCTGCGTGTCATCGAGGGGCCGTTGATGGAAGGCTCTCGTGCGGCAGAGATCCGTAGAGCAAGCTCAACCGGGGAGTGGTATTTGGTAAGGCATGGGCATCATCGGCGACCTTTTCGGATCCGGAAAGATGTTCTTGCCGCAGGCCTGTGGCTTTGGCTTCACACTTACCTTTGCCAATCTCTCCGCCTTGCAGGTCATCAAGAGCGCACGAGTCATGAAGAAGGCCAAATGGCCAGAAATCGAGTCTGCAGTGCATCCTCGTCTTGCCCGTCGGCTGGCAGATGAGGCTAGAAATCTCTGGAAATGCTGACAGGCCGTGGCGTACCTGACCCCCTTCATGGAAGAGGAAAGGCGTGCAGCCGTTCTCGCCTGAGATGTGCTTGAGACAGTGAGCCGGCTCCCAGCTTGGCACAAAGGGTTCCCGTTTCCAGAGGCCCTCGCTGCCGGCGAGGACCCTGATCAGCCCAAGTACAACGGCGTTGTGCTGATGGCCAGCCCTGTCTTTATATCTTCCTGTTCGACATTGCGCCCTATGTGGGTCGGCTTGATCAGGCAACGGTGAAGGGAGATGTGCACGACATTGGCAAGAACATCGTGGGAGTTGTCCTGGGCTGCAACAACTTCAAGGCGTGTGCCGGGGGTTGAAGCCAGATGAGGCCTGGCTCTTCGATGTCAGACCTAGGTGATCGACATGGGCGTGATGGTGCCCTGCGAAAATATCCTGGAGAAGGCCGTCCAGGACCCGCCGAGTAGATTCTGGTTAGACCTCGTAGCAAGATGTGTGCAACAAAATCGCAGGAGAAGGTGGATGTCGTCGGACTTTCCGGGTCTGCCTCTTAGTCTTCTGCTGATGCAAGGCATTCGAGAACATGCGGTTTGTCGTTGAGGCTCATCACACCTTCCTTGGACGAGATGGTTTACGTTGCTGTCCGTACCTCGAACGCGGTGCTGCAGGGATCACGTTACGATTTGCTATGCGCCGCCTCGTTGTCTCACTCCGAGAGAATTTCAGGAGCAGATGAAGGCTCGCGGTATGAAGGCCACCCGCTGTGCATGCGCATGCCGTGCTCAGGCCGAGGCGAATGTCCCGCCTTGTCCCGCGGGTGCCAGGTGCCGTTGATGATCGGTGGCGCCACCACATCGAAGCGGCACACGGTGGGGCGCCCCAAGAGCAGAAAACAGCTT